GTATGACCTATTGGACTAAGGATGGATCTTACAACAATAACTTTTATTGATACAAAAAGTATGACCTATATCTACAGAAAGAATTCTGAAATGATCATATATGAACAGCTATCTCAAATCTACACAAAATGCCTGTATCAACCCCAAATTCTATACTTAATCTCAACTGAAGATTTCTTTTATGCCGTTGCCATTAGCGTGAAGAATACTAGAAATCGCTTAGATAATCTGGTATCAATTTTCATCCAGTTAAATGTATAAAAAAAATTAATATCATATTTAGTAATAATAGAGAACCGTTAACAAATTTAACTACCACTTACTTTTGAATTATTGTTAAAATATGTTTTGAGTTGAGACACAATCAAGCCTTCTACTCTGGTGCTCCAGTCTTTAAGTGGAGATGAGTCTTCACTGTTAAGAGTAAAAATCTTAAAACAATGTGCTGAATGATATCACTGTAGCAAGCATATTTAACTATTCTAATACCTAATGAACACCTTCATCTTATCATTACAGATGACGAGGGTTACTAATGGATCGTGCGAAACAATCTGGAGCCAGCTATCAATGTTTACTTTAATGGGTTAACAGCAGTCAGAAACTGTTTCAAAAGCTAGATGGCTAGCAAAGACAGAAGCTACAGGTCAGTCTGATGGCTTGTTTGTTTGAAGTTCAGCACAAAGCTACACAATGAGCTATCTGTGCTCTGCCCACCAGATGTGTGAGTAGTTTTTTAAAATATTTCTTTTTGACGTTAAGAGTGACTTAACACGCATCTCTAAAGATAGCTGTCCTTCACAGAAGTTTTGCAGCCATCAGACTGACTTCCCCCCAGTATGTCTGCAGACTTACAACGCTAGAAACCGGGTTTCGATACCCGTGGTGGGCAGAGCACAGATAACCCATTGTGTAGCATTGTGCTTAACTTCAAACAAACAAGCCATCAGACTGACTGCCCCAGTATGTTTGCTGCAGACTTACAATGCTAGAAACCGGGTTTTGATACCAAAGTCTCTCTACTTGAAACATAGACTACTGCAGTTACCAACCAAGTGGAAACACAAATTAAACATTATCAAGATAATCTACAATTTTAACCTCTTACCTTCACGATCTGTTGAGAAATTTGTCAAACCCACCAGAGAAGCCCACCCCTCACCTGATTGTTTGTTAACCAACTTTACACGCCTGGATATGATGGACATATCTATAACCAATAGAATAAGCAGATTCTTGCCTTCATAAACTTTACAAGTCATCATAAAATGTTAGTCGGCAGAATAGCTAGGTATGTGGTAATCATATTTTGGTTCTCCAATCACTGGAGGAATTTGTTAAGTCTATTTATAGCTTACTTTACAAGCCATATAATTATAGCAGTTTTAAGACATTCTATTTTATTCTAGTGATTCATATTTTTTATGTTCTAAAATGCATGTTTGAAGGCCTATTTTTTGGACACTCAAATCTGTAAGAGTCAACAAGACTTAGGAAAACGTCTACAATTTTCACTCTAGTGCTGAAGTACTTGGTAAGTACTATAAAATCTTAGTTTTTAATGTATATATATGTTTTTAAAAAGTAGTTAAAACGTAAAAGTTAGAAACTTCTCAGCTTAGCCTAACAAAACACCTAAAATTTCATGAGTTCAAGCCTCTTGTGAAACATTACACTCAGATATAGCATGAACTTTATGTATGCTCTAAGGGGCTCCCGCTGTGACTTATTGCTTTTGACACAAGGATTAGATCAATAAAACCATAAAATTAAAAATAAACAGATGTAAAAAAAAATTTTCATATTCATTTTGGAACTTCTAGAGTGTTCTCAGCATGAATGTCATCTTTCACTCACACTGACTTAGTAAAGGTTTCATACATTCACAGACAGATATTTAGTAGAAATACTTTATTAAAATAGATTTAATAAGACACACATAGTAAATTCAGAATTATAGTAAGCATTAGTACATATAGCTTTACAGATGTCAAGTTGGTCAATTTGACCAAGCCCAAGCACAAATGGATAATTAAAAATAACACTGCTACTCTAAATGATTTTTCTCCATAAATACGCATGTTTTCACCAGTTTATTATGAGTTAAGAAAGAACAAGTGTCATGTACTTACTAGTTTGTGTAATGACTGGTAAAACAATTAATAATCAGTCACTCTAATCAACAGTGGTTTTTCCTAGAGGAAAGGCTGGAATATGTATATTATGTGTGCGCATGGAGATTTCTCACAGACAGATTGAGCCTAATTAACTATTGTTAAAACAATACATCTTGGTGATGAGAAACAATAATGTAAGTTTGACAAAACAATGTGTATTGAAAGTATTAGCTCACAGCTTCTGTTGCTCATTATATACATCACAAAATATTCAGTGTACAATTATCCCAGTTCACCAAGTCCATTAACAGCAGGAGAATTAAAAACCTGAACCTAATTAACGAACAGCAGTAATTAAACTCACCTTGAATCATTCTTCGATGTATACCCACTACTATTTTGAACCTCTCTCATTCTCTCAATTTCTTCTTCCAGCTGGTTATTTCTGTTCACCAGAAAGTTTTAAAATTAACTGATCAGTGGGTTACATGGAGATTTAAAATGTAACATACAAAGCTAAGTAATTATAAAAATACCACCCAGCACTGCAGTAGCTAATGTTTTATTTATGTGAGTGTTCTGTACAAAAAACCTTATGTAGTTAATTTTTACACAAATAAATTACCTAACTGGGAATATATTTTCCCAAATATCAGCTAACTCATCAAAAGTGTCATTATACACATTGTGACACACAAAACATTTGAAGAATGAGATAAATATGAGGAACAGAAGCATCATATTTGATACACGTATGAATCAGACTTCCATGGTATTACATTAAAAACTGTTAGCTGTAATCCAAATAGTGTATGTAAGTAAATCAACATTAGTCAAATGCTGTGAATAGTTTAAGAAAAAACAATTTATCATATTTTAAACACACTTATGAATCCAAATTTATATCGTACGATGTTTCTAAATTAAGTCGAAAGCTACAGAATTTGATGCTGCTTCTTCTTCTTGAACATTATGCTTCAGTTTTTCTCACATACATTATTGAATTTAAATAACTGGATTCATTTAAAAGCTCTTCCACTTCTCCTCAAACTGTAATTTTGTTTCAAAAATTCTAACTTAAAGTAGAATGTTAATAGTACTGTCAACTTTAATGGTATAATAATAATTTTATTTATTAAAGACTTCCCTTAACATACCACAATATTAATATTCTCAAACAGATTTATTTCAACTCTTGATTCTGTCACTGTTTTATATTTTATGTTCGGATTCCCATCAATCACTACTATTGTAATTTCCCTTTAAAACAAATTAATTCTACTCTGGGAAAATTAATGTTAATACACACTTGAAGTTGAGAACACTGACAAGCTGATTTTCCGTTTTTAGCTTTTCTTTTGTTTCTTTCAGTTCTAACTGAGCAATAGACAGCTTATGTTCAAACTCCTTCAGGACACTGTGGAGAGTAGCGTTTTCCTGAGTTACTTTCGTCCATCTCGATCTCAAGTCTTTAACTTCTGCAGCAAGCTGGTGAGACTGAGTGTTACCACATTCAATCCTAGCATTCAGTTCTTCACTAACAGAAAATATAAACACATTTGATGAATAGAAATTATGAAACAAATCATCAATGTACTCTAGATTAGCAAGAAACTAGTTGGTTTAAAAGTAGGTGTGATGTATACATAACACCAATACTATATTACAGTGAAGAAAAACAAGGCATGGATAAAAATCAGCAGAAATTAGATTCTACTTATTGCCCTATGTTAAAAGTTGCAAATTTACATATGCAGTTGCAATCACATAAAAACGTAAAATACAAAAGACCATACTTGATTTGAATAATCTTTTTGTTTTTTTCTATTTTAAAAATCCATAAAAGCTTAATTTCCTAACTTAAGTTAGAAAACAAAAATACACAATTTATGAAATTTGTTGTAAAATGTGTATTTTCCCGTTTCGAATAAATACAGTTAAAAGATTTACTTACATCTTGTCAATTAGTTCAGTCTCCCGTTCTCGCCATATCGCGATTAGTTTGTCCTTTTTATTTTTATATTCTGTTTTTTTCAGTGACAACTGTTCCTAAGAACGTTTGGAGAACAATTTAATAAGAAAAATTCTTAGAATACTTCAACAGTTAATGTAAATTACAAACAATGTTATAAAAACAGACCGATTTGTGTGAGGAGATCAAATGCCCAGTTTAGGAGAAAAGTCTGTACGTAGATTATATGCTTGTTAAAATGTAATCTACAAATTTAATTACAATATGAAACTATTTAAGTTACATTTATATGAAGTTATCAAAAACACAGAAAAAAATTAAAAGTTATTCTGTGTGTGAAAAGAAATTAATATAATCAGATATTTTGTTTAAAAAAAACACTTGCTAACTTGTTACTTGTACATATTTAGTAACTAACTATATATTATCTCCCAAAAGACTTTCTGTAAATATTATTTGCATTTTTATAAACATTTTTGAATCTATAAGTAATTCTGGGAAAACTGAAAAAAAAAACGTTTCAACTTCTAAAGGTATACTAATTCTCTGCATATAGTACAATAATTTAATCATAACTAATTAATTAATCGTCTAGAAAAACAGAAACAGTTTCAAAGCCCTACATAACCACCTAATCAGTGATTTTATACAAATGCCAATTTTGTGTAAAGCAGAAGTATTTCAGGATGATAATAGGACTTGATACAATTCTAGAAGAGTTTATAACAAAGAAATGAAAATTTTGTAGTAGATATATGATAAATAACAAAAGTCTATATGCTAATTATACACTAACTTTAAGATCATGAACTTGATGCTGAAATGTTAATATCTGCTTGTCCTGGGTGACAGATGAGATCTCAAAGTCTTCTTTTTCTCTTTTGATATCTGATAATTCTTGTTCTGCAGACTTCCAACAGTCTTCCAATTCAGCAACTTTAAGTTTTAGTTTCTTTACAGAGGTGTCGAGGTTGCTCTAAAAAGTATGATAACCCATGACTTTGTATGATTTAAAGTTTGTACCAGTGATCTTTCATGTATATGTTTGTGTGCGTGTACATATTGTATGTATGTAGGTGTGTGTGTGTGTGTATATATATATATATATATACACATACATACACAGAACTGCACCCTTATTGCAATGGTTTCAGAAATTTTAAAACATACAACTATAACAGTGTACATATATATCTACATACTAAAACAACCACATGATTACGATTAAACCACATTACTCAGACTTTTCACTACATCTTATTTCTTGGAAACTTCTGGCCCTAAACTGGAGCACAGTATTGTGCACAAAAACTTGCATTAACTCAATTTTCACATTTTTAAAACTCCTATTAATATAACATAAGCATTCATTAAAACACATTTTGTCTTAAGCAATTAATAACTGAAAGGTTATGTAACATGCTGAACATAAACAAGACTTTCCTCGTGTATGTAATATACAGACTCTAAGATTTATTAAAACTGTACCTTATCCTCTTGCAAGTTCTTCACCTTCATCTGCAAGTCATCACACCACGATTTAGATGCATTATACGCTGCCGTCTTTTCTATTAATTGCTTTTGTACAGACCCAAGCTTAAACTCCAGGTGGCAAATGTTACTCTGAAACTCTTCAAAGCTTTCCTGAGTATGCTTCACTGTTTTTTGTAGGGATGTACGGTCAGTCACAGCCTAGACCAGCAATTACAATGCTGTATTAATGAAAGCTTTAGACAGTATCAGATGAATTGGCAACTGATTCTAGTGTATTAAAACAGTTATGTAATTGAGTAATTTGTTGGCACTTGTGTATAATGTTAAAATAATAAATAACACACAACATTAAAATAGGTACACATTTTAATTAAGGTCAATATATCACCATTAAAAAGTTGACTCTACTACATGTTTCGAAGTTGCAACGTCATCTTCAGAAGATAGTTGCAAGACATACTTGTGTCTTATATATACTTTTTTTGTTGTTGTTAAATAGGTCATATGACGTACGTACAGGTTTACAATTCCCGCATAAACATTTTGGAGAAGGTCACCCTATATTTTTGCATAAATAATCGCCGGACCTTCATCTCTATTTAATAATAATACGTGATCTTTTTTATATTTAATTATTTCCAAGGATTCTCGAATATTATTGGTTATAATACCTTTTGGTTGAGCTAATGTTACATATTTTTTCCTACAGTACCGTATGTTGTGTTTCATGTACATGTTCAAACTATGACTGAAGTTTAATTTTTTTTTATTTATTACACATCGTTTGTGTTCCATTAAACAATATTTTGAATTACGTTTCGTCTGTCCAATATAAACATTTCCACATTCACAGTCCATTTTATAGATTCTATTTTTCACGTTAACTGTATGTTATCTTCGGTATTACCCAAATTTTGCTTTATCTTATTAATCGGTTTAAATATAAGATAAAATATTCATTGTTTTCCAAATACTTTAAATAAATTACTAGTTAAACCTGGAATATATGGCAAAATTAAAGCTTCCTTTTCAATTTTTTTATTAACTGGGTTTTAAAGTAATACTTTGGTCAGTCATTACCACATTAGTAAATTTGTTGACAGCTCTATCCAATAAATTGAAATTTACGAAAAAAATAATTAATTGTAAATAACTTACTGAATTTCAAATTATTATTTACATAAAGGTATGTAGAAGTACATTTTGTGATAAATATCACATAAATTGAAGATGTTTTTTTTTCATATTTCTAATTGACTTTTTCTCGTAATTGGCGACTCGTGGTAGACAAAGATTTGACATATTACATGATATTCATCAAACATTTTAGACCTATTGGTTTCTAATGCTTCTCAAACTCTCAGCATTTAGACCATAAATTTAAGTTTTGTAACTTCCAGTAAAACGTTTTTTTAAAGAAAATAATGTGTAAATTACTACTCGTCTTGTTTGCATTTATAATATGTATATCCATATATTAAATGTAAACAAAAAATGATGAAACTAACCTTTAACAAGTCACACTCAATTGGTGAAACTAACCTTTAACAAGTCACACTCAATTGGTGAAACTAAACTTTAACAAGTCACACTCAATTGGTGAAACTAACCTTTAACAAGTCACACTCAATTGGTGAAACTAACCTTTAACAAGTCACACTCAATTTTTTCAATATATTCTTTTAATCTTCTTATTTCATCTTGGTGTATCTTCTTACTTTCAGAGAATTTCTTTGAATTTTGAGATCTTTCTTGTTCTAAGTCATTATTTGAAACATCTAATTCTGAAGTCAGTTTTTTGTTTTGAGCCTAGAAATAAAATTAATCATAAAATAACTTAAGATAAAAATATATTTGAAAATCATTTGAAAATGGTACACAAAGCATGAATGATATTTTGTTTGTAAATTTGATGTACTTACTTATATCAGTTCATTTCGAGTACACACTTTACTTGATTTCTGTTTAAAGCAAAAAAAATACTTAAAAGACACTCATTATCTTAAACCTGCTTAGTTTATTTTTTCGTCTTACTTTGTTTAATTTCCAGTAGTTGTAGATTTGTAAACTTAAGATTTTTTTTAAGCAATGCTTAAAGGAGTATTCTTTGAACCCAATGCTAATAAATATTTCTTTTCTTTTTTAGATATTTATGTTTTGCTATTACATAATGATAGTATTTGTTTTGACATACGTACACTGTTAATTTCTTTAACTGGTATACGGACAGTCTCAAATAACACTGAGTAACAACTACACACACATAAGTACACACGTACTTGACTTTAAATCCCAATAAAGCAAAATTTCTTAATAATATTCACAAATTCCTGTTATTTTTTATATTTCCTCTAAATGCCCCCCAGTAGCACAGCGGTATGTCTGCGGACTTACAACGCTAGAATCCGGGTTTCGAAACCCGTGGTGGGCAGAGCACAGATAGCCCATCGTGTAGCTTTGTGCTTAATTTCCTCTAAAACAATGTATATAAAATAAAATATTGCAAAAAAATCCAGCCATACATAAAATAGACTAACGTACACAAATTTCCTTATTTTCCTTCGATAAAGTAGCTATTTTTTCTTCCAACCTGAGGATATTGTTTATCTCCGCTCCCATCCATGCATGAAGACTGTAACTTTGATTTTCAAATCCTTCACTTTTATGTAGGAGATCTTTAACTAAAACATCCTTGTTTTCCAAGTCTGTCTTACACTGTTTAAGCTCTTCATTTACTTGTTTCATTTCCATCTTGGCAGTTTCTATCTCTTGAGTAAGCACTTTTTCTTCCTGTTTTTTCTTTTCTTTAAATGTCTTTAATTCTTGGTTAGCAACTTCCTGTCAATACAAATCACATGACCAATATTTTGTCAAAAAAATTAAAATATGGTGAAAATATAGTTTTATATGAAGAGTCTAATACTTTCTGAAAATTATTTCCCTCCCTTAAGAATTCAATACTAACATTCACATAAATCTAGCATTTTCATTAATCCTGTGTGTACATCGAAGTCAAAGTGTACATGTCAAACTTTCTATAATTACATTCAAAACTTAATTAAACAACTTTATTATCAATGTGTGTCAATAAACTTGCCATCAAAGCATAATTTCAACTTTAAACTTCACCTTGATCAGGCAAGTAAATTTTTTAACCCATTTATAATTTAACAGAAAGCCAGTTAAATTATAATAATTTTAGGACATACCTTTTTTGTTGTAATATTTTATGTTCTAAATTGCATACTTGAAATTTAAAAAAAAGTATTTTACGTATCACCAACATTGTTCACAAAAAAAAAGTGGGCCTGAGTTTCTTTAGTAAGTATTAAATTTGTTTTTAATGTATATTTTTTATCATTTTTACAAAAGTAACTAAAATATAAAAATTATAAATTTATTTGGTTAGATACAAAAAATTGAATGAATAAAGTACATAAAAAATTTTTTGTATTGAATCCTTGTGGCAGAGAAAGTATTGAATCCTTGTGGCAGAGAAATTTTATGTACTTTATTCATTCACTTTATTCATTCAATTTTTTACATAAAATTTCTCTGCCACAAGGATTCAATACTTTGTTCACAGTAACTTGCATTAAGCTTTTTGCTGGATGATTTACTGCTTTGTTACGCTAGTTACAAATGATTCAAAAAGCAATAAAATAATAAAGTTAAATGAAAACAGACAAAAACTTTTACAAGCCTGAGGCTGTTTACGATAAATAACTGTAACTGTCTGTTACAATCTCCAATCATTCTAGAAAAAAAATGGAATTTTCTATTTTATTTCATATTTTTAAATTTTTTGCTACAGATTATTTCACTATAGTTAGTGTTAGGGTAGACAGAGTAAGAGATAAAGTCTAGTTTTATATCAAAAACACTTTTGATAATCACCTAGTAAGTTCTAGAAGACATGTAAATGAAATACGAAACTGTAAGAAGAAAAAAGTTTTTATTCTTAACATGAAAATAATCTTCCACTCAGACTAGTCAGAGTCTGAATGACTCAGTAAATTCACAGACAAATCTTTAGAAGAAATATTTGTTACAAATTCTAAATTTGTTTGTATTATACTTGTAATATTTATTAAATGTTTACTAAATTTCATGAAGATTCAGTCAGTAAATCTGTAATTGTAATAAACATTATTACGTTGTTTCACAGAAAGAGTTGGTGCAAAATACTCGTAGGGTTAACAGGTAAGTACTTTTAGACTATTTCAAAAGCTAGATGACTGGCAGAGAGAGAGAGAAGCCACTGATCACTTTGACCAAATGTAAAAACCTGAGGGGAAGTTATCTTAGCATATTTGTATTAAGCCAGACCTAATTTCAAGAAAAAAAAAAATCCTCAATCTCTTCTTCAGAATTTTAAAACATCAAAATAGATTGCTACAGTGTCCAACCGATTAGAAACACAAGTTCTACATAATCAGAGGCAAGAACCTAACATTTGTCAAACCCATTAGAGAAGCCCCCTCACTTCTGACTTACAAGATTGTTTGCTAGACACATTTATATGGCTGACAGACATGTTCATAATCAATAGGAAGAACAGATTTTTCTATACATAAGTCTTACAAGTTGTTGTTTACTTATCGCACCTTAAACCGTTAGTCAGCAGAATTACTCGACACGAGGTGATTATATTTTGGTGGTCCGTAAGCTCAAGTGCTCTATGAAACATTACACTCAGCAATTACATTGTGTTTACATTAGCTCTAAGGGAAATAGCTGATGGACTCCTGCTGCGATATATTGCTTTTGGCATGAGGATTACAGCAATAAAGCCATAACATTAAAAACCAAACAAACAGACATTCATTTAAGAGTTTCTAGAAGTTACAGAATATGAAGCTATAAGATGAAATGAAATACTTTTATTCATACCATGAAAATCACATTTCACTCATACCAAATCAGAAAAGGCTTAGGAAGTGTATGGACAAATCTTTAGTAAAAATACTTTATTAAAAAATTAGATTTATTTTTGTACAACAGGCATGTAACACTGCTTACCAAACTTTGTGAAGACACACCTAGTAAGTTCATAATTATAGTAAACATTAATATTTGTAGCTTCACAGATACTAGGTCAGTCAATTTGAACCAATGGTTAATTGGAAGTACTACTACTACGTTAAAGGACTTTTTTTCCCCATAAATACATATGTGTTTAGTAGTTTATTAAGATTTATGAGTGAACAAGTGTTAGGCAAGCACTATTGCATATGGTGACCAGTAAAATAATTAGTGGAAAGGTGATTCCAAGAAACTTATACTAGGGCTATCTGCACTAAATGACAGAAAACAAAACTAAACCCAAGGTCAAAACAAAATATAGTGAACATGTTTAGTAAAGTGGGTACAAACTCCCTATGAGGCACACCCTAGGCAACTGTAGATGTTAAACCGCAAGGAGCTGGGAAGAGTCTTGGTGTAGAATGTTGGGTTGAGGGTGCCTTAATAAAGATAAACAAAGAGGAAGATGCAGAGGTGGATTCACATGAAGAAACTGTAGAAGAGGAAATCATGGCTAGGCTGGCCAATCTAAGCTAATAACATCTTGCAAGTAGAGGATCAAATTATAGCCAGAACTCTGAGTAACGGAGGAAGTGAGTGAAAGTCACTGGTGTGCAATCACATCCAAATAGGACCAATTGTATCTACCACCCAAGCCTGAAGACGAGGTAGTGAAGACTCCAAAGTTTGTAGTTGAGTAGCTATAAGTGGCCAAAAGCTAACAAAGAAGGTCAAAAATGAGAACAAGCTATCGGAAAACCACACCACGGAGAATCCATTTGTTCATGAGAAAGTAAGAACTGAGACTGACAATCTGCAATGAAATTCATCAACCCAGGAAAATGGCAAGCCAGAAGGCTGACATGATTGGAATAGGCCCCATAGAGAAAGAACCAAAATTAAGAGACCACTAAAAATGATGAAACATCTCATGAGGATATTCCCCTGCAAAAGATCTAGACCTTCCACTATTGCCTGTTGGACAGCAAGAAGTCCCAAATTATTGATGTAGAATGAAGATTCATCCTCCATTCATATACTCTAGAAAATACACACCACATCCCGTAGTGAAGTAACTGTGAAGAGAAACTATGGATAGAGAGGCAGTATAGATTTATACACACTATATATACACATACATCCATGCTAATCATAGAGGTGATCCCAACCAACCAACACTCAAAAATTAAGATGTTGCTCCTGAAGTAAGAGACTGGAAAATCCGGTGTATTGAAGTTCCAAATTCATTTGTTGCAATGGGACCATTGAAAGGATAGCATGTGTCCTCCTCCCAAAAAATGCAAAAGATCCGAAGGAAGCCCACAACCCCAGAGATAGAACCTTCCCTGTAAGTAAGAGCCTGACTGCCGATTCCATAGCCTGGAGCTGGATGGGAGGTGGCTGAACCAGGCATAAAACATGATGAAAACTTTTGTAATCCTACAGAAGACATATGGTGCTGATGCTAGACAAAAGACTAGATCCCATTCATTTACAAATTAATGTGGGGATCATTGATAGGCTGCCAATAATTTGAGGGGAGGAAGAAACATCACAAAGCAAGAATGAGGAGCAAACAAATATAAAAAAACTTGATTGGTTCAAGTGATCACTTGAACCAACCTGGAACCCCATATATCCAAAATTAAATCATTTTAATCTATGGAAGTGAAAAAATACATCCCCCTGGAGGTGGAAATCCAAAGCACGCACACAGACAGTATATCTATCCCATAAAGCAGTAAATCTCTCAGCATGAACTAGAATTATCAGGTGAAGATGGAAAAACTAAATAGTCCCCCCTATAACCGTGTCACCATCAAAGGAGAAGTAGACTTAAAGGTCACAGAGAAAAGTCCCAAAAGCTCATAATCCAAATGACTAATTGAAGAAAAGGAGAAGGAGGTACTTAATCCAAATTGGACTCATGAAAAGCCGACTTCATAAAGAAAAGTGTCAGAAAAACTGAGTCCAAATTCTCCCTGAATAACTATGATCAAGAAAAAAGGCAACTTCAGAGGCCCCAGAGAAAAACACCCCCGAGCCGAATATATATGTTTCTATCTCCCAACAGATCAAAACACGGAGAGCCTCAACTGAGAGTGCCCCCCCCCCCCCCAACTGTAGAGAAACACTAGATAACAAATGAGAAATAGGGGAATGGGGGAGGTTGGATGAACCACTGTGCTTGACAAAGGAAATTATAATTACATGGAAATCCACAAGGCGAGTGAAAAGTACAATCCATAACAGAACGAACTACAGCACTTCGTCAGAAAAAGTGATTATATTATCAGAATGAGGTGCTTATATACAGTACCTGGATAGAGGACGTACTGACTTTGGTGAAGAATTATGCAAATTAGATATTGGCAAGGGCAATCAAGTGGGGTATAAAAGACTGGAGCAAGCGGGACCAATGCTAAGATAGGCAAAGCCAATGTCGAGAAATAGATAAAGTGTTAGCGGAGGTAAGTATGTTTTGGAATTATTCGTATACCATGATAATAAAGTACTTTAATTAAATTTTGAAAGCAACTCAGTACAACCTTGTGATATGAGCAGAATAGGATGCCTGTATGGAAAGATTTCATGTTATTCATGTTACGTTCCTGCAGAGTTCACAAAGGTGAGAAACTAAGCACTAATGTATGCACAAAAACAAAATATTATTAAGCATTTTACCAGTTCACCTGATGTAAAATACAAAAGTAATCCACAGATTATGCTGTAATACATACTTAATATTAGTATATTTACCATTTACACATGCTAATGAACTCCACACATATGTGCACCTAATCATAACAAACACTGATGTTTAACTAACAAAGCAAAATAATTCTGTTAAATAGAACACACCTGAGCTGTTTTCTGTTTCTCTATCTCAGCTTCCAGAATATGCTTTTCAGTTGCAAAGTCTTTTAGCTGCTCAGTCAACTTGTTAAGCTGTTAAGGTAACAAAAAGTGTGAGTATTTTAACTTCACATATTAATATCTATCTTTCTTGTATATAAAATTCTGTAGTTTTTGTTTTGCAATAACAAAATTACATACCAAACCAATTTAGGAACGACCAATTTTTCAATATAAATAATTTAAAAAGAATGATGCATGCATAGAGAAGTAAGTGAAAAAAATTACAACAATCACTTTGTACATATTTTCATTGATATTATTTAACTTCTTAGAGAACATACCTTTCCTTCCATTTCACATAGCTGTGTTTGAAGAGAGTTTCTTGCTTTAAAAACTTCTGCCATTGTTTCTTCTCCGATTTCAGCATTCAGGTCATCCTTGGATTGTACCTTCCCCAATTCCTCCACAAATTTACCACCATTATATATTTGACTTTCCACAAAATTTCTTAGTCTTTCAGCAAAGGTGTACAAACTGTAGTTTTCCTTGTTTAGTTTGGCGAGCTCTTGACGTAAACTAGCAACTTCTTCTTTCCAATACTGTCCGGTACGACGTAACTCTTCACACCTGCGAGTTCTCTGGTTTAGTTCTTCCTGAATGTATTCCATCTGTTCCATACAACACGATTTTAGTTAAAAACAAAAAATATCATAATAATCAAGTATCAAAATAATTTATTTAAAAAAAAAGTTACAAAATTTATTTATATGCTTCACATTTAATGAAAATTACTAGTAACTGTTGATTGCTGTTCTAACCCTTTTGTTGCAACCCTAAATAAATTATGTAACTGAGAGCACTATACCTAAAAATGTTATGCAAATGATTTTTGGATGCTACTAAAAGATCAATGAATACAACATCACAAAAAAAAGGATTCTACCATGAGATCATAAGCAGCCCATTTTACCAGCTTTAAAACTATGTGACAATAAACTGATACATTATAACAATTACCAAAAAAACAATACATGGAGTAAACACTGCAATGATTAGTTTAATACAGATGATATAAGTTAAAATGCAAAAACATATTATGTCATCATTTATCAAGTAAAAATAAACTTACTATTAAAATTATTTATGCTCAAACTAACCTTTTTTTATTAAAATTAAAGTGTAGAATAATTCTTATCATATCAACTGTATATTTTACCAAACACATTTTAATGTTTGTAATTATTAAGTGATATTTGTATTGTTAAGCGCCCAGTAGCTTAATAAACATGTTAACATCATGTTTGTCAACTTACAAAATTTACCAATATCTATCAACAACACCAATTTCAGAATGATGATCTAGGTATATTGGAATTAGTATGTCCAATTTTAAAGTCACTGGCAAACATCTTGACATTTACCAAAGGAAATACAGCATAATGTTAAAATATCCAAAAGACTTCATATTGCACAAAGAAGAATTTAATTCTCTTAAACATTTGCTTTTCCTTTTTATGAATTATTGTCCAAATGATGATTTGAATAATGAACATTAACATCTTAGTTAGCAGATGATCCTGACATTAGTCTCTAACTACATTACCACTTTCATGTCAACAGAGGGACAAAAGAACTGTTATCCCACCATGCATTATTCCCAGATGATCCTGAGAATAATGCATGGTGAGATAACAGTTCTTTTGTCCCTATGTTGACAAGAAAGTGGTAATGTAGTTAGAGACTAATGTAGATGATCCTGTGAATAATGCATGGTGAGATAACAGTTCTTTTGTCCCTATGTTGACAAGAAAGTGGTAATGTAGTTAGAGACTAATGCAGATGATCCTGAGAATAATGCATGGTGGGGTAACAGTTCTTTTGTCCCTCTGTTGACATGAAAGTGGTAATGTAGTTAGAGACTAATGCAGATGATCCTGAGAATAATGCATGGTGGGGTAACAGTTCTTTTGTCCCTCTGTTGACATGAAAGTGGTAATGTAGTTAGAGACTATTGACAAACAAGAATAAGACATTTTTAGTTAGCTGTCGAGTTCACGTTATGATATCTCAATTTGAAGTTTAAAAGGTCAGTAATAAAACAAAGGTCACTAATAAAATAAAGATCAGTAACAAAACAGAGGTTAGTAACAAAACAAAGGTCAGTAACAAAACACAGGTCAGTAATAAAATAAAGATCAGTAACAAAACACAGGTCAGTAATAAAACAAAGGTCAGTAACAAAACACAGGTCAGTAATAAAACAAAGGTCAGTAACAAAACACGGGTCAGTAACAAAACAGAGGTCAGTAATAAAACAAAGGTCAGTAATAAAATAGAGGTGAGTAATAAAACAAAGGTCAGTAACAAAACAGAGGTTAGTAATAAAACAAAGGTCAGTAACAAAACAGAGGTCAGTAATAAAACACGGGTCAGTAACAAAACAGAGGTCAGTAATAAAATAGAGGTGAGTAATAAAACAAAGGT